CACCTCAAAGACAGCATTTTTAAAAACTTAAAACCATATTATCTACACAAAACCTGCTCTTCTTTGTTCATTCTCCATCCCTGTTATTGGTAGTACAATTCAGGGAGACACCTAAAGTCAAAAATTCAGGGTTATCTTTGACCTCTCTGCTGATGCAATCTTAAACATTATAATATGTCCTTGGTCTCACCCTCATGGAATTAGTGGGAGGGCCTCAACACATAGTCTTCTTGTAGTGCAGCTTCTCTCTTCCCTTGTGAAATCAGTTCTCCCACCAAAGCTTTCTATGACATACCCTCTTATCCTCTCTGCTGCTGAGGTTCTCTCATCTCTTCTGGCTGTGCATCTCTCCTTCCTTCTAAACTTCTTCTAGAGGAAAGTACAAGCCAACATGTCTGATTTCTTTGATTTTTACCCCGTTGCCCTATTTTTCTTCTTTCATGCTTCTTTTCTAGAGGCAACATGTGCAATGGAAAGAATATGAGTTTTGGAATCAGCCTGAATAGATTGTGCTCTGTCATTTATTAACTTGTGCTCTGCTGTATTATCATAATAAACCTCTCTTGCTGGTGAAGGGCAAATCTTGAAAGGCTGATGTGAGAATTTAATGATACGAGGAATGTGATGTTCAGGCTCTGCACACCCAGCAGCTCTCAAACCCTTCATATTTCCATCAAGAGATGGGAGGACAGGAGACCTGTGCCCTCTTCTCCATCTCTTCTATCTCCAAGGCTCTGGGCCTTATTCACTGAGCATCTCTGGCAAAAACTCATTATTCTCCTCACCTTCCTCCCCAGTGGTTGCTACTTCTTTACCAGAATGCATCTCAAAACACAGGTGGCTCTGAGTACTGCTTAAGGAAGGCATTTTTATTCCTATTCTAAAACTGAGGAAACCAAAGTTCACAGAAGTTACAACATTGGCCCAAAGTACATACTTAAAAGAGAATTTTGGGAACTTGTCCTTGGGAGATATGTCTTTGGACTTAGTAACATGCTTCTATAATAGCTCTCAGAGAAAGAATGGATTTCCACTTGTCATTTTGTACTTGTGAATTTAGTTAGTTATTGGGCTTTGAAGGTTGGCATAAAGATGTGTGAGACAAACTGTTACAGATTCTACTCCAGTATACTTTCACCGGAAGAACCACCTTGATCCATTTCATACTGGTGGGAGTACGTTCTATTTTAAAAGTGAGTTAGGTGGAATACCTAACAGTTTCTCCTTGGATAGACTATTCCCTAAAGGCCATTAAAAGAATTTTCCTTTGAATAAAGACAGGGCAAATTATTTTCTGGATTTCATAGTGATCATGAACCTGAGCCTTAGTTTCGGACAGAACTGAATTGAAATTTCACCTTAGTCCTTTGCCTCTTATTAGCTGTGTAACCTTGAACAAGTCACTGAGCATCTTTAAACCAGGAATTTTAATACCTACTCATAAGTTTACTCTGAACATTAAATTAGGTCATATGTGTAAAGAACTTTACAGCATGTGACAAAGAGTAAGTGCTCAATAAATGGCAGCAAGTGCACATTAACCACATGTTCCTTCCAGTGAATAGGGTTTATATATATTACAGTAATAACAAAACACGCAAAAGGAGCATTGTTAAAATGACCACCAAACAGTTGTGTGCAGTTACAACATATAATAATCTCTGAATAGTGATGAACACAGGTTTTTCTCTTTCCATATTCCCTTCCCTTTTTGTTTCCAGGATGCAATATTGTCCTAATCTCTAATTTGCCAAAGAATTGAAGTGATACGAAGAAAGTACACAGCATCTACTCTATCTGTGTGTCAATAAATCTTGATTGCAAGAAAAAGAAATTCTTTTTGCAGGTGTCCTTTTTTGGTTGTTTTCCTGATTTGCATAAAAATGATCTCCTGTCCTTTTCCCTCTTTTCCCCACAATGAGGAGGACAATGAAGATCTGAAATGCCAGCTGCAGTTCGTTAAGGAAGAAGCTGCTTTGATGAGAAAGAAAATGGCCAAGATTGACAAAGAAAAGGACAGATTCGAACACGAGCTCCAGAAATACAGATCCTTTTACGGGGATCTGGACAGTCCTTTGCCCAAGGGAGAAGCCGGGGGTCCTCCCAGCACCAGGGAGGCCGAGCTCAAGCTGCGTCTGCGGCTGGTGGAGGAAGAGGCCAACATCCTGGGCAGGAAAATCGTCGAGCTGGAGGTGGAGAACAGGGGCTTGAAGGCGGAACTGGACGACCTGAGGGGCGATGACTTCAACGGCTCGGCCAACCCCCTCATGAGGGAGCAGAGTGAATCGCTGTCGGAGCTGCGGCAGCACCTGCAGCTGGTGGAAGACGAGACCGAGCTGCTGCGGAGGAACGTGGCCGACCTGGAGGAGCAGAACAAGCGCATCACGGCCGAGCTCAACAAGTACAAGTACAAGTCCGGCGGCCACGAGAGCGCGCGGCACCACGACAACGCCAAGACCGAGGCCCTGCAGGAGGAGCTGAAGGCGGCGCGCCTGCAGATCAACGAGCTCAGCGGCAAGGTCATGCAGCTGCAGTACGAGAACCGCGTGCTCATGTCCAACATGCAGCGCTACGACCTGGCCTCGCACCTGGGCATCCGTGGCAGCCCCCGCGACAGCGACGCCGAGAGCGACGCGGGCAAGAAGGAGAGCGACGACGACTCGCGGCCGCCGCACCGCAAGCGCGAAGGGCCCATCGGTGGCGAGAGCGACTCGGAGGAGGTGCGCAACATCCGCTGCCTCACGCCCACTCGCTCCTTCTACCCGGCGCCCGGGCCCTGGCCCAAGAGCTTCTCCGACCGGCAGCAGATGAAGGACATCCGCTCGGAGGCCGAGCGCCTGGGCAAGACCATCGACCGCCTCATCGCCGACACGAGCACCATCATCACCGAGGCGCGCATCTACGTGGCCAACGGGGACCTGTTCGGACTCATGGACGAGGAGGACGACGGCAGCCGGATCCGCGAGCACGAGCTGCTCTACCGCATCAACGCGCAGATGAAGGCCTTCCGCAAGGAGCTGCAGACCTTCATCGACCGCCTGGAGGTGCCCAAGTCCGCGGACGATCGCGGTGCCGAGGAGCCCATATCCGTGAGTCAGGTACAGTTCTGCCTATTGCGAGCCACGGCGATGGCCAGGCTGGCCCGCGGAGCTGCCGTCCGTGGCGGGGCGTCTCCGCGGCCAGACTGCCGCGCCCGCTTGAGGGAAGTCCCGGCTCAGAGTCTGGCTGGGGTCAAAGCCCCTGGCCCGGCTCCTCGTACCTTCACACTGTCCTTCTTCAGGCCTGAGGTTTTTGTACCCCAGTCATCTAGTCACCATTTCCCCTCTGAAATTTAACACCGTCACCCTCAGTTTTTGTGTAAAGGTTAAAGGATTTTTAAGATGCAGTACTATTTTGGGAGGTCAGCATTTTTCACTTTGACTCTACTAACACATCGAACTGCAAGAAGGTCCTGAGTAGGAATCTTCAAATGCTAATTTGCAATTTTCGAGCCAAGATCCAGACTAAGTTTAAGATTTTAAAAAATTCCTTGAGCCGGGCTCAGTGGCTTATGCCTGTAAGTCCCAGCTCTCGGGAGGCTGAGGTGGGAGGATCACTTGAGCCCAGGAGTTTGAGACCAGCCTGGGCAACATAGTGAGACCCTGTCTCTGATATATTAAAAAGGAAAAAAATATAATAAAAATAGAAAAAAAATTAAAATCCAGGCGAAAGCTCTGGAAGGCCTGGCTTTTTTAAAAATAAATAAATAAATAAAAATTAAAAAATAACTAAATAAGCAGGATTGATGGATACCTACTGGTAAATGTATTAAATAGAAACCAGTGGTAAGGAGACATGATCTTGTGTCTAGAGCCCTATCAAAAGGAACAAATGAAAGTCTCCCTTTTATCATAAGTTAAAGTAATATGATCATTATTTCCAGAGAAAATCACTGTCAGTTCTTTGGTGGAGAATCTCAGGACTAGGGAAGGAGTGTTATACTGTAGCTTGAAGGCACCACTAATTCAGAGAAATAGTGATAACTATTCCAGAACAGGGAAAACCAGCATTTTTCCTCCATCCTGATTTGTAGAGGCACACCGGATGAATTGGACTGAGCTGCTTTGGCCAGGTATGGTGGCCACGTAAAGACAATGCATTTTGTCAGAGTTAACCACGTGAAAGATAATTTATGAAACAAAACAGGCAATGCTCTTCGTGCTGGCAAGCCTGGTGTCCTGTATCCATTGGAGAACCCACGGAAGTACAACAGCATGCATGGCTTTCAAGACACGCAAGACATTTATATTTAAAAATCAGCTTATACACAGAAGCATGATATTAGATTAACTGCCTGTTAGTACAACTAAGAAAAATTGCAACCCTATCGCTTATTTATCTTGCATGTTGCTCTCTGCTTTGCTATGAAAAAAATAATAATTTTTATGATAAAACTTGGTGGATTTTGCTATGTTAAAGTTTACTTTTTTCTATTTATTATATCAAATAATTGGTTTTTAGTTTCCTTGTTGCAGATTTTTGAATACTATGAGCATGTAGTTTTTAAATTATACCCTGAGGGGAAATCAGTGAGAGAAAACACTGTGTATAATAACAGGCTTTCAGATTTTGTAAATATAGGCCTAAGGGGGGGGGTCTTTCTCTTAAGTGGGATGAATACTTAGATTAGTTGATACAAATTTAAGTTTTAAAAATTATTATTAATTAACTCTTCTCTTTGTCTTTGCGTTTACCTTCCCAGATGTTCCAGCCTATCATTTTACTTATTCTCATTCTTGTATTATTTTCATCACTTTCTTACACAACAATATTTAAACTTGTCTTCCTTTTTACACTATTTTTTGTACTGTAAGTCTTTCATCATTTACCATTCATTGTAGTATTTTCAGTTTGTTTATTTTGTTCACCCTTCAAGACAAGAAGTAAAAGAAGTTTAATTTCTGTAGTAACCAATGCTATAAAAACACTGAAGACTGCTTATTTCTTTAAAAAGACACAATTCATCTTACCACTATCAAATTCAATAAGAAGCCCAAGCATTAAAATATTTCAGGTAAGGAAGTAAGTGTGACTTTTTGGTATAAATCATTTTCATTTTTGCTTCCTTCTTTTACAGCTTGATTTGTACTCTTCTTGATAAATAATTGGCAGGTTGACAAAAAAAATTGACTAAATCTTTCATAATTATTTCTTAGTAGTTAACTATTATGGTAATTGAAAAGCTGGACATTCACAAGTTGGTCACACTTTCAAAAATTATATAGATTTATAAAGTACCTTTCTGGGTTGCATCAGACTAACAAGATAACATCCAACAAATATCTGGGAAAAATATGGTGAATAAATAAAATGTGACTTTCGTGGAAACTAAGTAATGGTGATGTGTTCTGTTTACAGAGATATGCTTGGAAGCATGAGAGTAGATTAAGTCTTAGTTCATTTAGAAAATAATTATCCCCGTCCTACTGTATTTGATCAGCTTCCCACCAAACCAGCCATTTCTGCTGTTACTTATACTTAGAGCCATATATTGCGAATCGAGCTTGTTGCCTGGAGTCCTATCCTCTATTATAGATTGGCTCCAAAGCAGAAAATATGCTATAAAAATGGTATGTGAATCGTTTTGAGTAGGGAAAAAAAACATAGTTGTTCTCCAGATTACATTAAACCACAATCCAATGCCAGTAGCACAGTTCCAGTGGGAGGTGCTGTTGAAATATAAACTCACTTTGGTCAACCTGAGCATCCCCCTTTCTCCTCCTGTGTAAAGTGGCCTGGAGAGACTCCATGTACCCAAAGGCCCTATTCTATCCACCTCATCAGCAGTTTATCCAGTGGAGAGCTGGCATGCGCCAGTGCCACCCCAGATTCAGAAATCTCAGCACTTCTTGAAGTCACATATTTGTACATATTCACAGATTGGTTGGTGGATGCGAAAATCTTAGCTAAAGTGAAATATCTTGTGTCTCAACAAAAAGAGTAATGTGTGGAAAAACTTTGCTCTGCCACAAAAGTTGGCACTGGTAACGTCCCTTTGAATCCCAGGAATTTAGCTTGCAACAGACCACGATTTATTTATAGCCTCATTCCCCCCCCACAAATCCATTTCCCTTTGAGTATTAGTTAAAAAAAAAAAAGCCAAAAAACAACTTCACAGTTGTGTAAAAGTTCAATTTAAAATAACTGCTCTTACTCTCCATAGGGATTGTTTTGGTTTTAGATTTTTTTGTTTAGTTGTTTTTTTTCTTGTTTTGGTTAGGGGAGAAAAGTCCTAGAGTGAGAAGTGGTGGTTAACCAATAGTTAGAACCTGTTGGTATGTGCTTTTGGGTTTTCATTCAGAAAATTCAAAGGGCTAGGTAGAACTTCATTGCAAAAATGAATGAAATGTGATAAATGCCATGTTTAATCATTATGATTCAAGTTTACTTTTTAAAAAATTTGATCTCAGGAATAGCAACCACTTTAAAAAACAAAATCTGGTAGATCCAGGTCACCATCTAAAGGAAATGAAAGTAAACGTTTGATGGCTGATATGTATCTGAAATGTTTATTACCTTTGGAGCCAGATACATCCAGCCTCGCAGTGGTTCTTAGCTACTTACAGAGCGTTTGGAAATGTGTGGCAGTGTTGTGAGTTGTCACACTGACTGGGAAGCTCTTAGAGGCGAAGGGTCAGAACTTCAGGCTCCCTGTGATCCCACATCACAGACAATGGTTTCACCCCAATTGCTGATACTGTCTTTGTGGAGAAGCGTGGTATGCGATGCACTTGTTCACTTCAAAAGCATCATGCATATTCACTACCCTGTGTGGCTTTAAGAAACTGGCTTTGGAATTTTAGCTTTCTTTATCATGAGCAGAATCAAGAACTAAATATCTAGATCAGTAGTTCTCAAGCCTAGCTGCACATCAGAATTTCTGGGATGTTTTTAGTTGGGGCCCTACCCCATATTACTTGAAACTAAATATATGGACATAGGCATTTGTATTTTTTAAAACTCCCGAGAACCACTGCTTTTAGATATTTGAATTATCTAAACTACTTATACACATTCTATATAGCTCCAACAAAGGTTACTATAAACTATGTGGTACTGGGATATAGGATCATCGGCTGTCTGGGTTTGAGTAGACCGTATAGATCCAGTCACACAGCGGATGTCTGGATCCTCTAGAGCATGCCCACTCAGAACGAAGCAGTTCCATTGCTGCACTGGTGGTGGTGTTAGAAAGCTCTCCTTGCGTTAATACAGGTTCTCAAAACTAACAGAATCACAGACAAATAAGAATAGTCCGTAACAGAAAAGACAACCAAGATGAATAGTGTATGGGTGCAGGGTTACACACACACCTAGAGATACAGGCACATGTGCGCACTGAATTCAAGATGATCCTACAATGATATAACATGCTATCACAATAAAATCCCTAGGCATTCATAGATGGGATGACACCATAAATATAATATATGCAGGGATGGTACGAATACCTAGTGATAACTTATAACCTGAAAAAGGAAAAAGTGTCTGAGCTAACCAAAACACCAGTCTCATCTTTAGATCTCTTTTTAGGAACTATGGTCATTCTGGCAACAGGGGTATTAGTCTTATTTATGAACTCTTAAGGCATTAATTTTGTAGAAGAATTTCATGAGAATCTTGAACTCCATCCAGGCCCTCCATACATGAACCTCCATGAGATACTGAGGAGGGGAAAGTAGGCTAAAACAGGACTGACTTGACTGCTGCTTAAAGATTCTGGGGGATTTGGGGTCACTCTGACAGCTCCTCTGAAATTAATAAGGTAACTTTCCTGTACAGTTGAATTCCAGGGAGGTTCTTTCCAACTCTGCTGTACCCACTGCATAGACAGCTTCCCAGCTGTGCCTGCATGTATGCGCATACCTCCACCATAATGGTGCATGATGAGAAATGCATCTAGGGTCAGGGCATTCAGACCTGTCTGTATCTCTAGGGACATGTTTGGGGCCAGTGGGTTGAAGGTGGTCTCAGCAAATTGCCAGCAGGCACGAAGTGACCTTTTCTCTTGCTGTCTTCTCCCTGTAACTTCAGGCTGTTCTGTGGACATTCAGTATCTGTGTGTCTCTCTCATACACCACAGAACGTAGATTAGGGAAGAGAAGTTAACAAAGATGGTGCCCAAGACTGCAGAGAGAAAGTTCTCAGAATCTCCTTCCCCTCCGCCTTTGATCTGTATTATTTTTGTTGTAGTAAACTAGTTTTGAAAGAGGAACGAACACCCATGCTTCTTTGTTCACCAAGAGAGCAAAGTCCCCCAATTAGTGAGACAAGGGATCTTTTGTTTGCACCTTTGAAGCTGTGTTATTTAAACACCACACTGAAACTAAACTCAAAAAAGCAAACCTTATGGTAGAAATTATCCTTGCATGCACACTTTTGGCCTTAGAAAGGAATGTCTTTGTTAATTTGGCCTAGATGTAAGAAAAAAGGAATCCGGTTGGCTATTTTTAAGTATAACTGACTAAACTCATAAAACAAAGAAAAATTCAGTGCTGAGCCTGGAATGTGTATTGGCCTGCATTCCCCAATCTTCACTCCAATTTCTGTGCTAGAATAGGATATAAGTATGTAATCAGCTGCCAGCAAAGTTTGGAATGTCAATTTGATAGCTCACCCTTAACTCCAAGTATTCGTGCAGTGTTTGTAGTTACATTCTCTTAGAACTACAGCCCAGTTCATCTGGTAGAGGTACGCTTTGGGTCAGATGCCTTAATGAAGTGAAAGTAGTAGATAGTATTAGGAAGTGAGGAAAGTTTGACTATTTCTTGAGCTACTGGGTTTTGGTACAGTATGCATGAAGACATAACTGCTTAAATCCTAGTTATATACCAGTTAAGTCTAATGGAAGATAATTTTGAATCTATGTCCTTAATTTTGATCTGGTTTTTGATAGGTGGGGTGATTTTGTACACGTTTTGATGAAACTAACATTTCATGGGTAGGTATTGATATTCTCGTCAGCTTACTTGTGAAATTTCAGAAGGGAATTTATACAAATAAAGAATGCCTTATGGCCTGGACATGGCAGGAACACCTTTATAGTTGTAGTAATAAATGTGGTAACATCTTGAATTCTTCTAAACAATACTTTTGTGTTGATCAGTTAAGAGAGGGGGAAATGGTGATGGCTGTTTTTCATGATAGCCATTTTGAAAGTGTGTGCAAAATTATAGAATCTCTAAAGGTCCTTTCCATGTAACTTCATAAATGCATTTTTATCCACACCTTCTCTGCTTAATGGTGTATTTTCTCTGCTCACTGGCAGTTCTAATCTGTGGCTGTCCTAGTGAAGTTGTGGGTAATTTTTAAACACTTCCAGGAATACCTTTCGAGTAGAGTACTATTATAACCCACTTGATCGGAGAATAAGAGCAGCAAGTGTAACACCCTTTAGAAATAAGGAGAAACTTCAGAAATCTCCGCCTTGCACTACCCACTGTTAAGCCACACTGTGTTGTTCTAAGGAGCTCCATCTTATATCTCAGATGTCTATGTTTAATTAACTTAAATCTATTGACATTTCCTGATTATTCAATTTCATTGTTAAAATGATAAAAAGTTTTTTTAGTTCATAGTTGTATGTATTTTCTTGTAGCTATTTTTCAAAATAAGGTACCACCAAAACCCAACATCTGAAAATAAAACTGCAAAAATTTACTATAATTTAAGACTGTATCTCTGCCTGCTGGTCTACAAAAAAAAGAAAAAGAAAAAGAAAATAAGAATATATAATCAGTGATTGTTAGCAATTATTCAGCCTTTTCAAAAATGTTCATATAATTTTATTGACTTGCATGTTAAAATGTTTTTTCCAATATTGTCTTACCCAAATTTCTATTTAGGGTATTTCAAATTCAGATCATAAAACTTTGCTATTTTAATATTTTTTCTTCAAATTGTCAGTACAGTTTTAGATATATTAAATAAATAACTTAAAATGTTTTTATCTTGTACCAAAATAAATATTAAATAAACAGTAAAATGGAGCATTACGTTAATTTAAAAACTAAA